AAGGGTTTCGGGCTTGGGACTGTCCAGACCGCCTCCCCACGAGGAGCCTTCGACTCTGAAACTGAAATCCTTTAGTGTCTGTCTTTCTGCTTGAGCAAGGGACAAGAATCCCTGACAGAACTTGCTGCATTCACGTGCATCAGACATCAGCGACACTGGGACTGGGCTGCGGACCCTGCAGTCCTGGCAGGCAGACAGATTAATAAACAGCAGGCCTCAGCGAGCAATTTCAGGTCCACAGAGTATAGCGGTGCGCGCGGGGTGTTAAAAGCAGCTGGGGGTCTATATGGTACGTCAGGGAAATATGCTTGGAATTTGTGGTGCGTCTCAGGTTGGAAAACCTAGAAACAGAGCAGCCGATGCCATAAGATATCTCTGCCCTGAGTTAAAGGCAAGAGTCAGCGATTAACATAAAGGGATACTAGTGTTCCTGACAGAAGCACAACTCCCTTCAGTAAGCAGGCAGCAATAGCAGCAGCAGTAGCAGTAGTAGCAGAGGCAGCAGCAAAGGCAGTAGCAGTAGCAGAAGTTAGCTTTATTAGCAGTTGTAATTTGGCAGAAGGATGAGCGGAATACAAACCTGCCTCGACCATGGGGCTGCTTGTCGGGAGCGGAATCCAACGAGCCCGAGAATCTTTAGCACTTTAGGGTTGATTGTTTAGGCTCACTAGTGCACATGGTCGCACGAACCCCCGCAAGCTCGTTTGCAAATGTGGTTTTTCTCGGGTGACGGCGTCTGACGATGCCGTCAGTGACTGGACACTGAGGCTCGCCGTTCTGCAAACTCAGCACATAGTGATACTGCACTTCTCTACACCTCAGGCATCACTACGCAAGGGAAACGTCGCAACTGCTGAATTGGTTCAGCCCCGCAAAGAAAGAGGATATCAGATGTTTCGGCTTCTCTCACAGGCCGGCACACGGAACACTCAACGACCACCCCTGCGTCGCTTGATGCTGCCATCGGCTTCTCGTAGTTGTGAATCCTGAACCTGAAGGCTCAGGGAGCGCACCAAACACAGTCTGAGATAGTGACCTTGAAACTCCCAGACTTCGAAAAGCTAAACCCCAACTATGTACCCAAAGCCTAGCCTAAATCCCAAGCCTTAATCAGCCTTAAATCCCTAAAGCTCCACAACCAGTAAGCCGTAGAGCCCCAGAACCCCTAAGCACCCAAACCCCAAACCCTTGTACATGGCTCGCAGCAACACTTTTCTGGCACCGGACAGCTGACAGCGAGGGAACGGGCGCCACCCAAGACTTGACCCAACCCGATCACCTCATACTAAGACTGGACTAGGCCTAGGGCCCCAAAAAAGCACATAAACACAATCTTATGCTTTACAGATAGGGATATCCAATACAATATAAACCCCCGTAACATGAAAACCAATAAGGTAGGGATATCTACGTCCTTTTTGGGCCCCTATAACCTACTGTACATTGTCACTGTCTGGCCTATCAGACTCATGGAACCTTTTCGGTCTCAGACCGAGAAATCAGTACAGCACTAGCTGAAGATGGGCTCGTACACTCAGCGACCTCCCCTGCATCGCTTGGGACTGTGCTCAGGATTGTTGTAGTCGTCATCCTCATCGGTTGCATCCGACGAGTTGTCGTCCGCCAGCACAGCAGCGGATGCTACTTTCGCCTTAGCTGCGGCCACCCTCCGGGATCGCCTTGGGTTTTTCGCCTCGGTCTGCTTTGACTTCTGCTTCGCCGCCGCCTTTGGCGCGTGAAGTCCACGTCCACGTCCGCCACGTCCACGTCCACGCTCATGTGGGGCCTCGGACTTCACTTTGGGCCCTGTGTGTCCCGGCTTGGCCGCTTCCTGCAAGGATTTCTCTGCCACCGTCTTCGAGATTCGGTCACGCATCTCCATAATGGCCAGGGCCGCCTCGTCAAACTGATTTGGAGTCTTCCCTCGCAGCCTCCGATTGGACTGGGAAGCGGCAGGCGAACTCGGGCAACTGGGTGCTGCTGCTGTCACTGTCGGTCCTGGCTCGAGGTCTGGTGGGCCTGCCGGAGAAGGCGAATCAGTCAGGTCGACCATGGTTGGCGCATCATCTGCTTCCAGGTTGGGCTCGCGCTTGGGCTGCAGCGGTGCTGTCCCCGGTTCGGCGCTGATCATACCCTGCAGAGCGGCAACACCTGTCCTGACGTCGATAAACTGCACACCGGCTGCATCACGGATGGACTTGCCAAGGAAGGTGTTCCTGAATTCACTGGCGCAGGACTCTAACCCCTCTACATGGAAAGCTCCACGCACCAATCTCTGCCAAGCAGCAAGGCTGTAACCACCACAGGCCCTAGACCACAGGCTGAGCACAGATCCTTCCATGGGTCCAGCCTGTCGACGTCGGGCTTGTACACCTTTTCCAAATGCTCAAGCAGGAGCGTCGCACCCTCGCGCATCTCAGCATTCACTTCGGGACTCACTTCCGCGGGCACCGCGCTAGGAGTCGACCCCGCATCTTGAGCAGCACTCTGTGTCGCCTCGTCAGGCAACACCGAAACGATTGAATGGGGCATTTCTTAAGTAAGGATTCCATGAGATCGCAATCGAGGCGCTGCGTAATCGATCGTCGTAGGCACCTCAAACAGCTTATACCAACATCTGAGCGTGCAGCAGGCAAGACAGGCAACACCCACAACAAACCGAACTTCCGAACACAGGCAAACCAAGCTACTGAGTCGGGATTCGCTGCAGACACCTCGCCCTCGGCATGCATGTCGAGCTCGTCATTAACAAAGGCCTGATTTGCCAGCGCCAGCTGCGCTGGCTGCTTCACTTCGGCAGTCACAGCCTTCGTTACCGGCTCTTCTGCATCTGGGCGTTCCTCGCCTTTTTCAGAGGCTAGGTTGCCTCTGAAAATCGCCCAGCCGACAAAAGTCGGCACAGCCTGAACCTGTGCATGCACCCGGTCCAGGAATTCCTCGTTCCCTTGCCTGTGCTTCTGCAGATCAAGCTCGATCATATCGCCGAGCGAAAAGCCAGCGTCCCTGAGAACTCCCGCACTGCACCCGCGGCGAAGCACGGACCAGTAGCTGCCGACGCTGGCTGGTGTAAGGGGTGCTTCGGCAAAGACATACCCTGCGGGAATCTCGATCATCTGCTTCTCCTTCAAGACCACGAAAAACCCACCCACATCGCCAAGCTCTTGCGCTGACAACTGGGGCAGCTGGTCGCACAGCTGCAGGAAGCTTCCTGCCCAGTCATCGCCCAACTTCTCGCTGAGATGCTGGCACAGGTCCTGCAGCGGCGCACCGCAAATGAACCTGGTTCCTGTGATGCAGGCCACCATGCGCGGCAAGAGCATCTCATTGATTCCTGAGGTGCAGAACGGCAGAACACCATTCTAGCTAACCCACAACAACAGTTTGCAATTGCAGTTCATCTCAGGAACCTTTGAAAACATGACCTTCCCGAATGCATTGCCAACGTTGCTGGAAAAGGCGTTCGGCCTGTAGCTTCTTCCTGACATCAGCAGTCAGGTCATTGTTGACCTTGCTGAAAAAGCTTTCTCCGTACTTGTTGAACTCCCATGCGCCCCAAAAGGCACTGGACACCAAATCCCAATCCGATGATTCCGCGCTTGCCGGGGTGGTCTGATCGGACCGGAGTAAAGACTCCAGCCGCATCGTTCCCCTGCACTGCAGCTTCGTGCGAGACATCGGCGGAAGGGGGTTCTTATGCTCTATGAAGGTGTGGAACTCCTCCAACAGAGGCTGCGGCAAGTGGGCCGTCCAGCCATCGTAGAGCACGGGAACGGGGACGTCGTTCATGTCCAGTTGGGTCAAGTCTGTGGCGGCGCCGATCAAGGTCACGCTGTCTCGCAGGTGGCTGAACTTTGATCCCATGGCCTCCATCACGGGCCACGTGAGCTTGTAGTTCTCACTGGTGTGCAAAGACTCGTCGGCATCGCCTCCACCACTTCCATCGCCCAAAGCGCCGGCCGCCTTGGCCGCCTCGTCTTCCTCCGCCTCCTCTGCCGTGGCACCTGCCTCGTCTTCCTCCTGCTCCTCTGCCGCGGCACCTAAATCGAAATCGGGCTCACTGAAACGACGCAGACGACTTGACGACTTGACAACACTGCGACTTCGAGCGTGATCTGTTTAAGCCCTCGACGAAGGTTGTCAAGATTTTCCCGGCAAGCGAAGGTTGCCACTTCCAATGCTGCAAACAGTGCCTTCACGGATCTTTCCCAGGCCTTCACGGCCTTCGGGTCCAAGTCGTCATCGTTATTGAAGGCCTCTGCGGAAGAACTTTGTGCCATGAGTTCAGCGCCAATACGCTTAGGTCCTAGGTACAGAGCCGTTCCACCCCCCCTTGAACCCCCCATCCCCAGCAGCAGTCCAACCTTCTCCAAAGTGGTTTTGGTGAGCGGGCTCGCTTCAACACCACGGACTGCTTCCTCAGACCCCACAGCGTCGACTCGAGCCATCATCTCCTTGTGCACACTGCTCTCCTGACGGGAAAGAAGCTGGAATTTCGGCTGGAATCGCCCACGTGCGTGGGGAGTACCACATGCCTACATTTGGGCTTGCATGCAGCCGGGAGTCTTCCTGGGATCTCGGGAGGTTTGCCACCTGATCCTTGACCTCCGAAGGAACCGCAGCAAACAAACGCCAGGCCGATTTCGCGATGAGGTTCAGATACCTAGCATTGCGCGGCTGAGTACTGCTGCTACAATCACCTACATTCCTTTGGACCACTCATCCACCCAAGAGCTGAGATAGGCTGAGAGGCATTTCCAGTTCTTTGGCAAACTCCGGCTTCTCAGTCACCATATACACGAGCTCGGCAGTATCCTTCAGGATGTCGCCCATTCGTTTGACCTTCAGGAAGCCACACCCAGCCACCGTTAAGCGCACCCTTACAGCGTGCTTTACAGGGCCCATTTTGCTTGCTTAAAGCGTGCTTTACGGGGTTCACCCACCCGCTCGGGGAACCACTCGTCCATCCACCCAGCCCCGTTAAGCACGCCCTGCACCCCACTCACTGAGCTGCCCACTGTCTGGTCCACAGCCGACCGACGGCTTCGCAAAGCTCCAATGCGGGCAACATCTTTCTCCGCGTCCTTGTGGCGTGGACGCTTCCTGGGAAACAGCAGCCACTATGGGACGAGCCCACAACCTCACTAACACAGGCTCAGAAATCTGACTCAAGAGCAAGATACCTGTTTGGCTCATCCTCCAAGACGTCCTTCGGGTTGATCTCACCGGCTCCCTTGCGCTTGGGCGGTAGTTTGTTTTTGCCGCCCTTCTTGACTTGTGTGGCCGCTTCCACTTCCAAAACCGTTGCATCCGTGAAGTCTGCGAAGCCTTGCTTCCACACGAGTTGGCTGCAAGGCTAGACTGGTAGACTTGACTTCGCAACATCTGACACAAAGTTTTTCCGCTGTCTCGATAAATTAGGGTCACGACAAGAAGTGCTGAAGACCCCGGTGTCCTTGTGCAAAGAACCTTCTTCCCGAAGACCTCGGCGAGATGCAAAAGCAAGTTGCCTTTGTTTGGGTTGCGCGAAGTTTGGGGGCCCTGCTTTCCGTGGCCAAATCATGCAAAGCCCCTCGATCCACTTCTCGAAGCTGGTCTGTGCCTATCTCCTTGGTGTGTTCCAGCTTCCTCGTGCCTCTCTGCCTCAGCTGACACGTGAATTCACGCTGCATGTGTTTTCGGGATCAAAAGCTACGAAGGCAGAGATAACAGCGACCCAGGCAATCACAACGAGGAAACTTTTTTGACAGGGTGCGTGAAGCAGTGGAGCACCGGCATGGTCGTCCACCCCATCTGATCTTTGCTTTTGGGCACGTTCACGTCGCTGAGCAGATCCTGCCAGCGCATGTCCGCCTCCTTTCCGCGCAGCCCCCATCTGTTTTTGCAGCCTTTGCGAAATTCTCGCTGATTTACGTACTCCTTGTTCTTTTCCATGGAGATGGAATCGCTGACCTTGACCTTCTCGGAAACCACTACCTCGAATTTTTTCCCCTTGCCCTTCGACCGGCCTTTGTTTTGCCGGATCTCCTCATTTCTCTGATCCTGACTCATTCGTTGCCATCGGTCCCACTGACCGATTTCTTTCATATGCTTCTGCAAAGCGATCCGTGCGGCATTGCAATCTGGGCAACTGTAGTGCTTGCCCCGTTTATAGGCAGACACCAGCGGAGTTTTGCAGTGGCAATGCATGCACCTGATCACATCGGTCATGCTCACACTTTTTGTATTGCTATAAGCCCAACGCCGTACAAAGCAACACCAACTGAGCAGCTCACTCGCAAGAGGGGCCGGAGTTTGCGTTGTCTTTGGCTTTAGCACGCTTTCGAGAAGCTTCAGCTTTGGCAGGACGAGGAGTTGCTGAGGGAGGCGGTGGATGAGGCCTGTCAACTTCATCGCAGAGAGCCAGCGGTGGAGTTCGAGGGTTGCTGGGACGGTGCATCGGTGTCGACGGCGTCGATTCCGCAGGCGCAGGTGCAGCCTCTGCTGTCACCGCCTGACCCGAACGAGTTGATGACGAGCTCTCCGAGCTGGAGTCCGACTCCGAGGACGAGTCTGCCGATCCCGACTGACCCGTCGGTAGCTCATCCGGCTTCGCGTTGCGACGCCTGCTCGGCCCTTTCTGTGCGCCTCTAATGCGGCGTGCCGGCCCAGGCCCCATCATCAGCAGCGCTATAAGCAAGTATGGAAAAAGTGCCAGTCGAGAAAACAGCACACAAATATCACAGAGGCTGCATAGACATACTATCACTTTCGCTTTGTCCCTGCTTGAAAATTAAGTCTCTTGCAGGATGCATGGTGTGAACCCGCTTGCTGCTAAGCTGGCTGCAGATTCAGGCCCCTTGCAAAATAAATTATGCAACCCCGCACCAGACAGAGCTGTTCCAGGCAAGTAGCAGCAGAAGACAAAGCCACGACTGCTGCCATTGCGAGCCCAATACTGGACATGTGCATGCTGTTGCCAACCTACAATCCGGCACAGAGCATAGGGCATAGGGAACACGGAAGTCTACAGTGGAGCAGCAGAGCCACATGCAGCTAAGGGGCGCAAGAGCACAAAGCACTGTCAGACAGCCCGGCCGTCTGAAGGACGGAGACCCGCAGAGCCGTTGCCAAAGGTAGCGTCACAGGCATTCCGTGCAGGGCCGCAAGCTCCAACGGGCCTGCCGCAGAAATGCGCACAGAAGAGAACCGGACACCGCACCATGCTCGCACAGTCACAACTCCGCGGCTGAATGCAGACACGCAGCCATAGATATGTCCAGTCGGGATGTGCACCAAGCTCGTGCACGCACGGGTCAATGTAGGCATTTCTGCGCGCCCACACCTATGCCTAGCTTCGGGATTCTGCGTCAAGTCAGCCACGACTGCTTCAGGAAAAAGAGCTCGGTACGTCTCAAGCCTCTGTGCCTTCACAGGCGACAACCGCGAAACATGCGCCATACCGCCGTTGCACATGATCACATCTTGCAACGTCACCCTCGGTTTCTTCAGCATCCGCTCCACCAATCGGCGGTAGTCTTCGAGGCTTGCCAGCATCCTCAGCTTACCAGGCATGCTTCTAGATGCACGACTACAGAGAGTTGGCCACAGAGTTGGCCCCAGCTTAAGTACGCAGCAACATGCAGCCCAGAAGCTTTACACGCGATGCATCATAACAGATGGCATACTGCCTTTTGCGTGCAACCGGAAAGCCGCACAGCTCGGGCTGCAACAAAAGCCAATCCAGCTTGTGGTCTGGCCCTGCGCGGAAGCTGACGCATGCGACGATTCACTTGCCAAGGGGGTGTGTTTTAGCTGGCCTGCCATATGAGGAAGGATCTCGACCGGAAAGCCAGGAACATTCTCGTGCACCAACAGATGCACGCGACTTTGCCGCACGATTTTCATCCTCAGTGTGCGAGCTGGGTTGAGAAGAGTCTCAGCGCCTCGGGCCCGTCTATGTCTGACCTTATCCCAGACCGCAAAAGCTAAAACCGCAACCCACGAACCCATCCGAAAGACGAAACAACCCTAAGCCCCTCAAACCCAGACCCCAAAAGTCCAAATCATTCTAAACCCCTACCCCCTAAGTTCTGGAACGCTGCTTTGTTGAGCTATAGTTCCCGCCCAGGTCATACAGTAGACACGACACGCAGACTTCTTCCAACTGCTATTCCGCAAAGAAGGAAAAACTTGTTTTCAAGGGATGCCCGAAATTCACAACAGCAGCCAAGCTTCAGGATGACAAGCAAATGCCCTGTTTTCCCAAGATCCCTGGACCGTTTGCCATAGGCAGAAAAGTCTGGACAGGGAGACCCAGCCACCAACACACTCAAATGGCCATGCCCTTGAACCACAGGAAGCCTGCGACATTGTCGCTGATGCGTGTAGCAATAGTCGAGCTCGTTCAGCAAAACGTCGTCTCGCATCAGAATGCGCTTGCATTCTTCGTAGTTTTTCCTAGGGAGTCCATCAACATCGCAGGTTCAGAATCGAGAGCTTATCCTTGCGTTTGGGTGCTTGGACTTTTTTCCGGCCTACCCATCCTACCTACCTGCCTAAGTTCCTACACGGGTGAAGACCAAATTTAGTTCGGGTCTGGGTTGCGCTGATGCGTTTGGTTGTTGTTTGTTTGCTTGTTTGTTTGCTTGCTTGCTTGTTTGTTTCTGTTTGTTTGTTTAGGGGCTTGGGCTTTTTTACCTGCCTGCACCTTTTACCGAACCACCTACATACCCCTCCCTGCTTGCCTTCCGCCAAAGCCGGCTTGAAGCTCCACAACAACCGACAAGGCGAACTAGAATCTAGAAGCCCCCAAAGCACCTAGGAAGCCAGCTATAAGATCCAACACAACCACCCAGAAACACCTAAAAGCCAGCTAGAAGCATGTATGTTTGTATGCATGTATGCATGTATGCATGTATGTATGTATGTATGTATGTATATATCTATCTATCTTGATATATACATATATACACATATATATATATATAATGATAAATAATGTTTGTGTATATATACTCACATATATATATATATACATACATATAGATATAATTTCCATTGCGGGTGTTCTTTTACGTGTT